GTTGGGATACTTCATTAATACAAAATTTCTGTCTTTCCAGCTACAGTGTGAGTCCTTTCAGGCACAGGGCCTTATCTTCCTATACATACAATACATCTGACATAAAATAGGTGAAAATATTTGGGAGAAGTCAGAGAGGTAGTGTATGCCTATGAGCTCAGCACTGGAGAGGCAGGAGATTGAGAGTTGGAAGCCAGACTTGGTTACATAGTGAGAACTTGTCTTACATACACATACACACAGACAGTGAGGAGTTGGGGAGGAAAATATCTGATGAAATTACCAAACATTCAAAGACATTAATTCTCCCAAACTAGCCAAGCCTGACCACACTTAGCATCCAAAATCAGATGAAATAGGTTGCATCTAGGTAAGTGTTCTGATGTGAGAAATGATGCCTTACCAGTGGACAAGGCCTCCTCCTGAACATCTCCCTCAGCGGGCTGATGAATATTCCAGGATGTTTTGGCAAGTAAAGATATCTCTTCAGGTGATGCCAAACTCACCATGTCCATGTGATTGCTCTGGAACTGGTACCGAGGGATGAAACAGATTTTGCCTTGTTCGAAAATGTCCTTGATGATCTCTTCCGTCTCAATTTCATCTTGCATGCTCAAAAAGATGGAAATTCTTTTGGAATTTTGATACTGACTGTGAGCAATCACCTAAGTGGGAAATTATGGCAATTATAATTTTTAAGACTATAGTTTTCATAAACTAGAAACTCCTCTTAAGCAATTTTCCCTTTTGTCACAACGTTCTCACAGTGATACAGTGAGTTAATGCTATGTCCTGATATTTGGCTTTCATTTAAGATTTGTACATTCAATGATCCCTTTACCTCTCTGATGGGGGAAGTCCTGTATATATGTCAATAAAGCACTGTTGGCCAATAGGGAAGCAAGATAGGTGGGAGTAGGAGTTGAGGAGGACTTGGGGTAGGAGAAACACAGGAAGTCGAGATGTAACCGCCATGGGGTAGGAAGACCGGAAATTTCTCCGGTAAGAGAAATACTTAGATTAACAATTATGGGGTAAATACTTAAGTCAGAGCTAGCCAGTAAGAAACAAGCAAGGCCAACAGCTTAATAATTAATATAGCCTCCTGTGTGTTATTTGGGACTGATGCGGCTCTGGAACCAGGCTGGCGGGAAGGATTTCCCATTACACCTCTCTGATAGGACTATTTCCTGTATGGAAATCCATTAAAAAGACATAAAGTGGAAAAGCTCCAGAATTCCAGATGTGGTCCCCATTTCCAGTACACATCAGAAACTAACTCGAGGTTTTTGGGTTATTTTCTCTTAAATCTGACCAATTTTCTAGTCCTTGTATTGTTGGGTATTTCTCCCATTAATTTTACCCATGTAAGGCCAACCAAGACCTAACCTTCCTGATGTCTGCAGAACCTTTACTACATTTAGAGTGAGACACAACTCAGCACTTCAGTCTGTATGAGGTGAGCCAGTCACTGCTCATGTGTCCTAAATGAAGGATTCTGCATCAGTCCACAAGCTCCACAGAGAACATGCCCTATTAGAGCCTCTTAGCTCTATCAACGTTATTCCATTCAACTGGGTGTTCACAAAGTTCCCTGACATGGAGCCAAGGGGCTCCTAGTGTAAGAATCCTTATTTAGTGGAATCGCTCATCAGGCAAAGGGCTATGTGTTGTTAATAACCCTAGGAACTTACCCAGACTCAGAGGTTGGCCCTTAACTCCCTTTTTTTCCCTCTATTCCTTTTCTGTTCTCCCCTGTCCTCCAAGCTAAGAAGAAAAGGATAATAGAAAAGCAGCTTACAAATATGACTGGCAGAAAAGTATACAGGTAAAGAAAGCCACGTTACACTTAATACAAAGGGAAGAGAGAGCCTAAGCAAAGTTTATCAAACCCAGGCTAAGGAAGAAAGTCAACCCCTGGATTCTCAAAAGCTGTAAGCTGTTAGGGGCATAAGTGAAACAAATGGAAAGGAGAAACCCAGATTTGCAGCAGGCCTAAGTCTTTGACAACACTTACTATATGAGAATATTTCTCTTAATCTCTTTAAAACAGAGTATAGAAAACCAAGAGCTGAATAAGCAGTAAGGCACAACTAAAATTCAGTGTGAGACTATGCATATGCATTCATCTTCCTTCCTTCATGCCCATTTACATGCCATTTGCTAAAGAGGAGGAAAAAGGAAACCCGTCATAATAATGAAGACAATAAGGCAGAAATTTGACTAAGTCCTGGTGAGACAGTATTTATAGACAAAGTGGCACTAAAACACAAACACAGGAGATAGACAGAACCCATTCTCCTGTTAGAACTCCAACCAGTGTCTACAAAAACAGAGGGAATCTTGTAGCTTGTAGCTAACACACTTTCATTAATAAACATGTAGAAAAGAAGGGCTTCATTGAGTGGCGGAGGCCTTCACTACCACGTACAACATTCTCAGGTGATGCTCAATATCCTCAAAGATATAAATATGAATAGCCAATAAATGATTTTCAACCATTTCGAAAATCCAAAATACAAAACATAAAGAGTTTTAAAATGACAAATGGGAGGGAAAAAATAATTCAGCACAAAACAGATAACACAAAAGATGGAGATTATTTTTAAACTCTAGTTAGTTTTCTCACACAAACTGAAAACAACTGAATTGATAAAACATCAATAGACTGCTATGGAAAGGAAGCAGTAAGAGACATAAGAAATAATTATTGGAAACTAAAACCATGGTTAGCAAAATGAAAACAATCTAGTAGGAAATCCTGAGTGGGGAGACAAATTAGGAAAAAAATGTTAAGAGACACAGAAAATCAGTCTAGACTTTTTACTATCTAATTACCAAGAATTCCTACAAGATCCAAAGGAAAACTAGAATTCAAGATGTGATGGTATGAGTGAGAATGGACATCACAGGCTCACACATTTGAATGTGTTGTTCTCAGATGATGAACTATTTAGGAGGCTTTAAAAGGTGTGTACCTCCACGTTGAAAGTGTGTCACTCAGGGACACAGGGGCTTTGTGCTCACAGATACGCACTGGGGAACCAGGAATGGTAAACACTAAGGGCTATGTCTTCAAAAGAAGAGATGTATCATCTGCTTTCTGACCAGAAGGCTGGGAATGTATTTGGTTAGTAGCCCAGTGACCGCTGAACTATCTGTATGGCAATACTACACAAGGTTCTCCCATACTGTTACATATGTCTCAGCCATCCTCCCTAGACCATATCTCAAACATGGTTTCTCAGTCAGTAGAGCCAGTCTTCATGGGAGATGTCACATGTACTGTACAAATAGGACCTTTGCACTAACTGTATGGCCAACACACCAGATTTTTGCCCCAGACATTTAACAGTCAACCTATAGTATCCACCTTTATGGGAAAGTACACATACACTTTGGAAAGAGTTTCAATGTAACCATGTCTTAAGTTTTGTTGTACACGCAGGATTGAATCATCACCAGGAAACTTTTTCCCCAAAATGGGCTGTGCTTAAATACTTCTAAAATAATCTGTCTTGTGTCAAACTCTAGAAGTTTGAACCAACACCAGCCACTGAGTCGTGTTGAGCTGGACTTCCTTCTAACTTCCCACTGATACCCCTGCAAGCCCCTATAATCACAGAGACCCCAGAGTGGGCTTTGAGGTTTCAAAATCTCTTTCTCTCTGTCTCCATCCCTCCTTCCTTCCCTCCCTCCATCTTATGGATAAGATGTAAACTCTCAGGTACTTCTCCAGAACCATGCTTGCCTGACTGCCTCCATGCTTCTGACCATGGTGATTACAGGCTAGCCCTTGGAAACTGTAAACAAGACCCAAATGAAATACTTCTTTTTATAAGTTTCCTTGGTTATGGTGTCTCTTTACAGCAGTATAACAGTAACTAAACCACAAAGATATAATAAATAAGCAAGTAAATAAGAAATAACTGTCTCCATTTGAAGTCATAGGTGTTGAACAGAATGAGAAAAAAATAATTAAAAACGTGAAATCGATTGACTGGTCAAATGGGAGTTGAAAACATTTTAACATATATTAAAGAGTCAGGTCTAGAGAGATGGTTCAGTAGTTTAAGAGCACTTAATGCTCTCTGCAGACAACCTGGGTTCAATTTCTAGCTACTACACTGGGGCGGCCAACCATCCTTAAATCTAGTTCCAAAGGGTCTGGTACCCACTTCTGACCTCTAAAGGCACTCACATACATGCAGGCAAAACATGCATAGACATGAGCTGAAAACAATATAAAGGTTGACAATCACATAGGTATTTTCCTTCTAAAAAATTTGAGGATGTACTCTAAAAACGTTGAGAAGAAAAAGCACATAAGAAAGAAGGCAAAGTAAGGTAACGAGTTCCAGATAAACGACCCTAACTCAGAAGCAGAAACCCAAGGGGTGGCTGTGAGGATGCAATTATCTCACAATGTGAAAATTAATCTACCCATAAATAAACTCAGATTCTAGTTTTGCCAAAGTTAAAGGAAGACGCAATTTGAAAGTAGAAAAACAGACCCAAATTCAGTGTATGTTCTAAATGTGGACTAATAAAAGATAGCACACTTCTGAACCGTGGTTATCACTGAGCCATAGCCCCAGCCCTAAATTTTTCATTTGCCTGCTTCCTCTGCTAGACTGTCTGAGCATTTAGAAGTGACAATCATCTTTGCCATCTCTATAACCCAATACACAGCAAAATGGCTTACTACTAGTTGTTAAACACATGTGAATGAATGAAATTTAAACCGGAAAGTGCAGGCGTGGTTCCACAATCTCAACACCTACTAAAGCTCGCGGCAACGTCTTTCCTCACTTAACAAAATAACTCGGTTGGCAAGAATAAACGTGCTCCAGCCCAGCCTCCCTGGAGAAACTCCTGGATACCCACAGATACTGCTGCCTGCCCTACTGGGCCAGACTGGAGCAACGAGTGCACACCCAAGAGGATGTGCACATAAGGGGAGAGGTGCGCCTGCGCAGACACGCGAGCCGAGCCCAAGCTTCCAGGCGTTTAACTCCCTGCAGCCTTCTCGCACCTTCTGCGTGAGGTGGTGAGACTGGAGCAGCCGTTCCTGCGCACTTAAGGCCCACAAACGCTGCTTCAGTTCCTCAGCTCGGCCGGTAGGCACCCCTTGGAGTTGCTTGCAGCAACCGCTGCCATCACCTGGCAAGCACCGCCCCGGCCACGCCCATCACCCTCGGTCGCGGGGGGCGTGGCCTCTAAGAACTAGCATTGGCCACTTAGGTCTCTGAGCGGCCCCCATCTTGTGGGCTCAAATGACAGCGTGCTGTGGTTTCCTTGTCCTTTCCCGCTGGATAGCTGGGACTTGTGCACGTTCATCTGGACATTTAACCTTCCCTCACAGCCTATGGAGGTAGCCATGTTCTGCAGAGGGTGGACTCAGTACTCATCTAGCCTTAACGTTGTGGAGTGGGCCAAGCACACCAGACGCTCCTACATCATTGCCGGTGGACACGTGACTCCTCCTGGTCAACGGAAAAAATTCTGCTTTTCCAGAAAGTGTGTTCTTCTCCCATTTTCAGTCAGTTGGCTCGTTACTGATAAACTTGTAGGGCCGCTATGGCAGGCCCTCTTTGGAGTTGGATGCCCCATCTCTGGAGAATTCAGGATTCAGTCACCCTGTTCATTATTATCGAAGAGTGTAGCTGCCTTTGCTGCTGTTGGAATCTGCTGTTCGGAGACAGATAATGTCATTCTCTAACAGGACGTTTGACTGAGTGGGGATCAAAGAATAAAGTAAGTAGTAGCTGAGGACTGACTTTTTAAGATAATATATATATATATATATGTATATATTATCGGCAACACCCCCATGTTGCCCCTCAGTAGTTGAGGACGGACTTTTAAGATTATATATATATATATGTATATATATATATATATATATATATGTATATCTTGCCACCACCCCCATGTTGCCACTCAGTAGTTGAGGGCTGATTTTTAAGATTTAATTTTCAGAGTCAGGGAGATGATTTTCTTGGTAATATGCTTACTACACCAGCATGGGGAGCCGAGTTCAGATCCAGCACCCATGTAAAATGTATATAGTTCATTTCTGTAAGATCTAAGTGCCTGAAGACAAAGGAAGGTGCAAGAGGGAAAACAAAGATGAACAGAATTCTTAGCATGGTCAGTAAATTCACTGACATCTGTCATCTCATCTTTATGCTCAGAGACCTAGAAAATCAGGTCAGTGTGGCCATGCAATATCTGTTCACCAATACTAGAACATGAATGTACTTTGTGGATCAGTGTCCCCTGAAAGCATGTTAAGTATGGAGAATCCTGAGCCATCCCAGGAGTCCAAATGGTCCTCCGGTGATTTCTATTCATATCACTACCGTAAATGACTGTATGCAGCAAATATTAATCTTCAGGAAGAGCTGTAAAACTTAGCTTCATGTGGTCCTAAGTTTTCTCCCTTATGTCAGACAGACAGATAGACAGACAGACAGACAGACAGACAGACAGACACACACATACACACAAATTTCATTGCATATGTTACTGTTGATAAATTGCTGCTGTTAAATTCTAGAGGCTGGCTTTTTGTGGATACCCATGGCTGTTCTATGTGGTTTCATGTCTGTAATAAATAGGTCGTCTGACAGCATAACTGATAGGTGAAGAGCCTGCCTAGCATGCACAAGGCTCATGGTTTGACACCAGTGCTGCAAAAATAATGATAGCTTTGTCCAGTTTGGCATGGGAGAAAGCATTCACTTTACTTAATCCCAGGCTTTGACAAAAAATGCTTTAGTTCCATGTGTACATTTCATCAAGAATATGTTTGCACCTGTGAATGTTTGCAACATTAGGTGTAAATCTCTTTAGGGGTGTGAATCTTCAGTGGTCTCTGTGTGTCCTCTCACAGGTAAGGCTCCAGGGCAGAAACACTGGTATCCCAAGTGTTTCCAACACTCTGGAGCCATTATTTCCATCGGAAATCAAAATCACAGGAAGACTCAATAACATAAAGGTGTGTCAGATACTAGGAGAAGACATTGTACTTGACACTATGGGGTAGCTGAAGCAAAAGAAAAGATCAAGTGTTCAAGTAGAAAACAGATATTCCCCCATGGAAGGCCTGACCCTCCCTGGGAAGCTTAAAGGGGATGGGATAGGGGTCCTATTGGATCAGGGAAGGAGGGGAGGGAGAGGAAACTAGGATTGACATGTAAAACAAGCTTGTTTCTAAATTTTAAAAAAGGAAAATTAAAAGAAAAGAGATCATTAAAGGTCTTACAAGCTAATGTCTAAAACTTGAAGGTTCTAGGCCATTCTGAGATACATAGGTATGTAGGAAGACCCTGACTCAAAATAAAACAAAATCAAAGCAGCCTCACATAGTGTATCTTGAAAGCGGTGGCACATGCTTCTAGTCCCAGCACTGGGAACGATGAAACAGAAGGATTGGGGTGTCAGGGTCACCATAAGCTGCACAGGGAGACTGTGTCTTAAAGCAAACACAGTTTCATTGTTTGAATGTGAATTCCCCCACCCACAGTCTCATGAGTCTGAACACTTAGTCCCCATTGGTGGCACTGTTTTGGGGTGCTTTGGAACATTTCTAACAAGCACATCACTGTGGCCAACAGAGCTCAAAGATAGTATCTTGTTCTCACTCAGCTCAGTAGGATTTAAGTAACTTCCTACCTGGTCTTCTTGCTTATTCCTTTTTGTTTCTCCAGTTTAAAGGTGGTGATAAAATAAAAGACCATGCTGTTTAGGATGAAGCACCATCGCTAGAGTCCTGGCCTTGCATGCACAAAACCTGGGGGTTGGACCTCCAGCACCACACCACACAAACTGAGTGTGGTAATAACCTCATCTGTAATCCTAGCCCTCTGGATGTGGAAGCAGAAGGATCTGGTGTTAAGGGATCTGGTGTTAAGGTCCTTAGTGTCTTCATTTCCTCAGTTAGGAATCATACCACAGAGGTAATATTGATAACTGAGATGGTTTTGGGGGAAAGGGCTCTCTCTATTGGATATATTACTAGACTCAAGAGAAATCTAATGTAAGTAAACTAGAGAATTTCTATTTTGCCATCAAACTTGATCTAAAAATTAGAACATGGCCTAACAAAAGACAGTTTTACACACACACACACACACACACACACACACACAGAGTTTAAAATGGTTCGATATTCATTTCTGTAAGAGTAGAAACAGAAATTATCCCTTTCTGGCAGCTAGAAAGCCAGATTGATCATATATAGTCTGACTGTTGATTATTACTTGACTTGGGGAAAGTGAATTCTACTTTTTGGGTCTTGCCTTGGGAGAAAACTGGCTGGGTGGAGTGAGAAAACAGAAGACAAGAAAAGGTCAGAGAGAAAAATTATTTGAGACCCCAACACTGCATCTCTGACTGCCCTCTCCATGAAGCCCAAATGAAAGGCCAGAGAGAAAAGATTGAGGAGAGAGCATCAATGAGGAACTGTAAGCAGCCAGGGACCCTGAGGATAGAGAAAGTGTGGATTCAGCAAAGAGTTACAGAGCAGATTTTAACCCCATATGATTTGGCCTAGTGTCACAGGATAACAGGTACAACCTTATGGAAGAGTTTCTACCTTATGGTAGAGGTAGAAAAGATACTACCCTCCAGGTCATCATCAGTCCTTAAATACCTGCCCTGCCATTGTTTGGGGGGGCATCCTCCTGCAGCACAGGGCTTTGACAGAAATACACAGAGTCGGTGGCTAAACTTTTCTATCTGATTCATAAGCAGAGAGATAGGGATTCTGGGGTTGGCATGAGCTTTTGAAACCTCAAAGCCCATCCCAACTGACATATTTCCTCCAACGAGCTGGGCTAAACAGTTACGTAACTTGTGTTAAATAATCCATGCAGCTCCTTAGGTGAAACTCAGACTTTGGCTGTGAAACATAGCCTTGCATTTATTTTTATTCACCAAAACTCTGTATAAACTATCATTTTTATTATCAAATTAGACAGTACAGGTTAGAGAGGTATCATCTTCTAGACAATCCACAGGTAAAAATGCCTAGTAGTGCAGGATGTTTCCAAGAGATAAGCACATTATATTACAGGCAGTGGAGACCTCCCCACATCCACTCACACCATGCTAGATACTAGAGAAAGAGAGTTGCAGTAAACATGGACAGACACAGCAGAAGCAAAAGACATTCCAGGGTCTGCAGTCCCGTGGCCTTGCCTAAACGAGATTGGCCCATCAAAGGATTCCATTCTGGTGGGCTGACACCTGGAACTTCAATTGCAACTCGCTGGCATGGCCACCGGCAATGTCCCTGTGTTGAGTATTGTGAAGTTCCAGGCAAACTCAAAAACTTAAAGCATGAAACACATACAGAAACAAACTTATTTATTAAAGTGGGAACAAAACATCTGCAATTCTGGAAAGTCAAGTCCTATTAGCTGAGTTGTTTACAAATGGACGTACTAAGTGATGGTCATCATTGTCACAGGAGCGCGGGTCCTTTCTGGTCAGTAGTGTTGCTTGAGGAGCAAAGAGCATTTGCCAGATATGCCCTATCGTTTCCAGAAAAGTCACCCAGCCAGACTTAGGTTCAGACTTAGGTTCAAACTTCTTCATGAAGCCATCTTCCTATGAGAACAAAGTGAAGATTTAAGATCAGTGGGATAATCTCTCTACTCTCAGTATATGCAGTCATTTCATTCTCAGCATTGTTCTCTACTCCAAAGCTAAACTCCTTTAGAAACACTGTCCAATATGAATACAGCCTGAGCTACATATGTTAGTTTCAAGGGTTTTGGTTTTCGTTTGGGTTTTGTTTTTCAGCCATATATTAAGAAGTGTCTTTGTCTATCTTCTGTTGCTGTGAAGAGACACCATGACCAGGGTAGCTCTTAATTTACAGTTTCAGAGGCCAAGTCCATTATCATCATGGCAGAAAGCATGGTGGCATGCAGTAGCTGCTAAGAGCAGCTAACTCTTTGCCTGGACTTGGGTTGAACTACAAACATTACATTCCCTTTCACTCCATATATTTCAAAAGAAGCACAAAAAGAATATAAAATTGCTCAAAACATTTATTTTATTTTGAACTTTTTAATCTTCTCTCTCTATCTCCTAGCCCTAGAGTTATAGTCATACCCCATCATGCCTGGTTCAGGCAGTACTGGGCATGGAACCCAGGACCTTATGCAAGCTAAGACAGCACACTACCAACTGCTCTATATCCCCTGACTGTACTTGCACACTGTCTGTTCCACCACCCCTGATGTTTTTATGTTCATCTAGTAACATTTGCTCTACATCTTGTAAGCTCCAGTCTTATACTGTCTCCAAATGTTTGTGCTATAATAGCATTAATCCAGAAAAAGTGAATCGGGTGTAGCTTCTTGAGAATCAGAGGACTCTAGAAATCACTGCAGATCTTAAAATTAATAGTTGTGTGATCATTAGCCAACCAGGCAGCCACTAGTGAGGGGAATGTGTCTGCATGTGGTATGCATTCAACTGTGAGACACATGATGTCATGCTCCAACAGAAAAAAGACATTGCTCGGTTTCCCTGTGTCCTCTTCTCCTAACCTTACATTCTCACGTACTTCCCAGTCTTGGTAGTTCCCAGTCTTAGTATATAGACATTTCTTGTTCTGCTTCCAAGAACTGCCGTAAGCTTATAATAGACAGGCACACTGAGAGCCTCTAAAATGATCTTTTGTTAACAGGAAATCCTTTCATTTCTGTGCATTTTCAACATCTAAAATAAATAAAGAA